CCTTGTTTCTTTTTTTCTTGCATCTTTTTCATTGTTTTTCATTCTTACATTTTCACATTACATTTTCCTTCTTACTTTTATTCTCTCTTTTTCCTCTTTTTTTTAATATTTGGGAAGGTGTTGTTAGTGGCTGTGGTGTTAATAACGGTGCTGTGTAAACGGAAGGAGTTCAAAAATTGAATTATAACGCCCAGAGAGTATTTTTCTCTCTCTTTCTCGCTCTCTTTCACACACACGCGCACACATTCTCTCTCTCTTTTTCTCTCTCTCTCTCTCCTCCAAGCTCTTTCATCCTCCGTATTTTCTTCTTCTCCTTTCTTCCTTTCTCTTATTAGAATGAGAAGAGAAAAATACTATTTGTTCCAGGTTTCGAATGGTCTGCACGGAAAATTCAAATTAAGAAATATTAGTTTGACGGCTTGTCACCGGACCCCTCGTAATAAACATGCCTCATCTCTGACAAGTGGCACCCAGCATCACGCCAGCCGGGGTTTACTTTCACAACATGATACAACATGAAACCCATTTCTATTAGTACTACTACTACTACTACTACCACTACCATTATTAGTCGTTTTGAATCTCGCTGAGTTTCGCCCTGTGAGTCGAGAAGAAGGGAGCTCCATCCAAGATACAACAAAAAGATCGAGATGCACAATGGCAAGAATAAAATATAAATAGATAGCGTTCCCATTCATCTCAGCTTTCTTCCTCCTTCTATGCGCCTTTTCCCTTCAGGACGTGGGCGATCGTAGCTCTCCACAACTTCCTATTCTTTGTAACTCTTAGTAAGTTTTGTCTTTCCCCCATCACACCTATTTCCTGTCGTGCCATCCATTTACACAAGCTCGTTATGACCCGCTGCTTTTTTGGTGTCTGTTTTATTTATTTATTTATTTATTTATTTTTTACAGTAAGGTTCACCCTGTATAAGGGTAGGGGTACTTTATATATATAGGAGGGGAAGATAATGGTTGACCCTAGAATTGAACCGGTTAAGATTGTAGTAATCGGAGAAACATCATCTTGGGAGTTTGTTCCACAGGGCAGTGATTCGCGGGAAGAAGCTGTTTGATGGAACACGGGGGTGCGGATGAGGGCGGTTTGCTACTATGTAAGAGGCATGGCGAGTCCTACCCGTGAATGTCAGATATGGTGTAACCAGGAGATGCAGTTCGTTCGAGCACTTTCCATGGCAATAGCGACAGAGCAGTGAGAGACTTGTCGGAGTTAACTCCTCCTTCAGTTCGTAACCCTTTCACCAGGGGTCGCTCTTCGCAGCTATAAATAGCCGCAGACCCTTCGCCTCTTTCTCTTTTTCTCTCAGGCCTGTGCTCCGACACCTTGAGGTAAATCTCTCTTTTTCCTCAGGCTTTCAGCTATCAACCTCGAAATGTAGGCGCTAACAAGGGAGAGCGTGGAAACACGCTAAGCACAATACACACGCACGCACATAAAGAATATTCACACACGCACATACAGAATATTCACATACACTTCGTCTTTTGTACTGTTTCCATGTATATAACTTGTTATTAATATATATTTGTATATACATATATTATCGGTCTTGTGTTTTGTTTGCTTTCTTTGCCTTCTTCTTTGGACTTAATCAAAGTCCAACCTTTTTATGTAGTTGGGCCCGGCGAGCAGGAGAATATGAACCTTACATGCGTTTCTTCTACGTCTGACTTCACAACATTACAGCCACGGCCCTCTACAGACTCACCACATCCCACCTTCTCCAACAAGGACTCAGAGTCGCTTTTGAATTCTGTTGCTTTTAACATATCCTGTTAGTGTCTATATTCCTATCTTAATAGTAAGTATGGTCGGTTCGATAAGATCAAATTAGCAGCTAATCTTAAAAAAAAATATCACCTTCATTCTCTTGTTAATTTGCTTAAGGAACAGCTTGTTAATTTTAACACCTCCAAAACGAAACTGCTACCTGTTAAGAGAGTTCCCTTTCTGCGTTTCATCACCGTGGTTAATGCTAACCCCTGGAAGAATGACTCGTTGCGCCTTCTTGGGCAAATGTTTACTGCTGGCCTGAAATAGAAAGATTAAATCATTGAATCAGCTGAATTTTGAATCACTTGCCAGGTCTGCTACTAAGAAAATTGGTTTTCTGTAATGTGCGAGGCAATTTTTCTAGCAAGAATCTATCATACATATTTATAAGTTTACCATTCATCCATGCTTCGGTTATTGCTGTCACATATAGTCTGATGCACCTGCAATATATTTAGAGATCCTTGATGAAATCCAAAGAATGTTATTGGCCTTGACCTGGCATCGCGGCTTCAGTCACTTTCACACCGCCGTAATGTAGCTTACCTATGCCTTTTCTATAAATCCTTTCATGGTGATTGTTCTGATGTACTTTCCTCTATGGTACCTAGATTATGAATTTAAGCACAGTATGTGCTTCTACAGAATACTACTGTGGATACCGTGGACCGAGATTCTCCAGGCCCTCCTTCCTTATTATGTGTTCCAGAAACTTCATCTGCTTCTTCCTGATATTAAGTATAAGCCTCCTCCTTGTTTGCAATCTCTTTAAGATCTCATCGTTGCTCACACGCTCGGTCCATGATATCCTTAGCATCCTCCTGTAGAACCACATCTCGAGTCTCTTCTTCATCTTTAAGGAGATCGTCCTGCATTCGTTGCCGTAAAGAAGGACAGATGTCACATAACAGTTCAGTACTCTTTTCTTTGTTGCCAAAGATATCGTCCTGTCTTGCAATACTCTGTCCAGCTTTCGGAATCTATCCTTGGCCATCCCAATACGTCAACAGATCTGTCCTTTTTGTTTTCTTGTTTCCATAAAACTTTCTCGTTACTCGCATGTCCAGTCAACTCCCCTACTTAACGTAATGATTAAAATGTACATGAAAGGGTAAAAACAAAGATTTTTTTTAATTATGATTATTTTATCGCAATTTTTTGATAATTACTGTTACATGAGCATTAATTCCTGATACAGTGGTATTCTATAGCCTTGGATGGAAACTGGTCTACCGCAGAAAGAAATGGTTTTCTACGAAAGGAAAAAATCTGCCTCGTCAGTCATGTATCAAAAAATACATAATCGCCTAAGCATGTATCACGCATGGTATATAACTGACTGACTGAAAGTGGTATTTACAATATATATAACCAGTAGAAGTAGATTTCATCTTCTATGTGCTGTATCCATTCAGCGCGTTGGCGATCACAATTTCCTGTCCTTGGTACCTCGGCAAATTTAGATCTTCGTACCCGCAAAAAACAGAGTGTCATAAGGATGTTTTTTTCCATTAACATCGCTATTATTTAAACTACATTCACTCCCCGGCAATTGATTTAAAAAGCAATGATTAGAATTGTATTAACATCTAAACATATGATGAAAGTGAATTTACATATCCCGCCATCCATTTACTCAAGCTCGCTAGGTACGTTATGCCTTGTTTTCCTCTGTCCCGTCTTGCCGCACACACACACACACACACACACACACACACACACACACACACACACACACATTGAGGTCAACACCCAGCGGCGACAGTCTGTTTTATGCTTATATGCAATCGTCAGGCCATGTGAGTTTGGGTTTTGGCTCGACTATTCGAATATGTTGGTCAGTGGTTCATTGTAGGTAGGTCTTTTGTATTATTCAAACAGTTATTTGGGTGGGAGGCAACGGTTATATTAGAAGTTATTGGGTGGAAATAATTGTCGACCCGAATGTAGTTTTGTGGCTATTTTTCTAGTGTTGTTTGTTAACATTTTTACTTATTTTTTATTGTATTTTTTCCAATTTTTGAATAAGGCTTTGTGCATTGTAATCAAAATTATAGATAACATGTCCGAAGTTCAATATTGTGTTTTTATTTTCTTAAGTACTTTCGTCATTTTCAAGAACCATGTGTCTGTGTGATAGGGCTAATTCCTTTGTCTATATCCTGGTATTTTTATTCACACACACACACACACACACACATATATATATATATATATATACATATATATATATATAGATATATACAAGTATATAAATGGTATATACGGAATGAATTCCAATCATCAACAATTACTATTCTTAAAAGAGTGCTCAATACAAAGTAGAGCAGATATAATTATTATTTATAAAAAAAATTATAACATAAATATGTTATAAAATCACTTGGGTTTTGATTGGTTATTCTAGCTTTTGTAACAATGTTTCCCCCTAGTGAAGGATCGTTAATTAATTTGAAACTTTTAAAACCATTTATTTTATCTTCAACATCAACACTTGATAAGACACCGAGGGTGTTGAAACAAAATGGCTATTTTTGTAGTGATTTTATAACATATTTATGTTATAATTTTTTTATAAATAATAATAATATATATATATATATATATATATATATATATATATATATATATATATATATAAAGGGTGTTTCATTAAGACGGATTATATATAAGGCTGTTTCATTAATCAAAGTCAGCAGTAAATAAATCAGTATTATTGGTGAATATTTATTTATTTCTCTATTAGATCATGTTACTTAAGTCATGGCAATTATGGATAAAAAATAATATCTCACAAATGGCCGTCAAATCTGAAAGAAAAAGAGAAAATCATTAGACACTTAAGCTTAATTCACATTTACAATCGATCCAAGTTATTGGAACACCCTTTATATATATATATATATATATATATATATATATATATATATATATATATATATTTAGAGAGAGAGAGAGAGAAGAGAGAGAGAGAGAGAGAAAGAGAGAGAGAGATTTGTTTTATTTGTAAAATTAACCCTTATTTCACACTTTGATGTTATCTATCGGCAACTTATCAAATATTATGTTTTGGTTTCATTTATTTATTTTCTGTTTTTTAATATTTTTCTTATTTTGTATCTGGCAGATGCGGCGTTTGTCCAAGACGATGTGTTTAAATTGAATGGATCATACTGCACCCTCCTCTGAATATATCCGTTTGTAGCATGTCAACGCCAGTAATACTATACATCATATTTGTCATCCTGCCCACATGCTTCGGTGTGGATCTCACCTACTACGTGGAGGAGGGAAAGAACCCAGGCACCTACCTGGGCGACATCGCAGCAGACACACATTTAATGGATAGTGTCATTCCCGAAGAACAGCAGCTGGTTACATTTAGCCAGCTTCACAAAGGCGCACCGGGCAATTCTCAGCTGTTTCGAGTGTCCAAAGAAACGGGCAAGTTTTACACGGCCCAGATGTTGGATGCCGAAACCCTGTGCAAACACAACACTGAGTGTTTCGAAATCGTCAAGGTGGCCATTAGGCGGGCCGAGACCTTCATGAAAATCGTCAAAGTCAAAGTTATGGTGAAGGACGTCAACGACCACCAACCAGAATTTCCTAAACAGCAAGTGGACATCGAGTTCTCTGAGGGTGATATCATGGGCACGAAGATCTCCATCCCAAATGCAATCGACAGGGACGTCGGTGTACTTAACTCGCAGATAACGTATCAGTTGAAGAAAGACATGTATGAGCCTTTCACGTTATCGGTATCGAAAAGCGTTGATGGCACGTCCGACTTGAGTATCATTTTAGAAGAGAGGCTCGACAGGGAAGTGAAAGATTCATATGTTATTCAGGTAATTGCAAGAGACGGTGGGTCACCCCCAAAACAAAGTGTTTTAGATGTGCATATCTCTGTCACTGACGTAAATGATAACCCGCCTGTGTTTTCCCGCAACGTTTACAATGTTTCCATAAAGTATGAACACGAGGAAGCAATACCTGTAACCATTTTGTCTGCTAGGGATTCTGACACGGACAAGAATAGCCGAATTTCCTATCACTTCAGTCCCAAGACGTCGGAACTTTCTAAGTCTCATTTCAAGGTAAATGAAGTTACTGGCGAGATTTTTTTGCAAAAGAAATTTACATCGAAACAGAAGCTCTCATACAAATTATACGTGAGGGCGACTGATGGTGGAAATCCGCCGCTGAGTTCCATCGCTATGGTTATTGTGAATGTAGTCAACCAACAAAACAACGCTCCAACTATTGATGTCAATTTTGTCTCAGGGTCTACAGACAACACAGCGTCTATTTCGGAAGATATCAAGGTTGGAAGTTTTATAGCGTATGTTATGGTTACTGATTACGACTCCGGTAAAAATGGAGAAGTCAGCTGTAATTTGCAGCATAACAAATTCCAACTTTTAAGTCTCGGCAGAACTGAATGGAAAGTGACTGTAAAGAGCCCACTTGACCGTGAAACCCAAGATCATCATGATATTACCATAAACTGCCAAGATAAAGGGTCACCACCCTTGCATACGGAGAGCAAGTTCGCGATTGAAGTCATCGATGTTAACGATGTACGTCCTCGGTTTACAAAAGAGACGTTGAAGTTCTGGATTTACGAGAACCAAAAGTCTAACTTCCCTGTGGGAGCCGTTAACGCCAGTGATCCGGATTTGGGTCCCGGAGGAAAATTAAGCTATTCACTGTTAACTGACAAGAAAAACTTCCTACCTTTTCAAATTACCGATCGGGGGCTTATTTCGACGGTTATGTCGCTTGATTACGAATTTCAGCATAGCTACAAGTTTCAGGTTTTCGTCAAGGACAATGGCGTCCCATCGTTGAACAACACGGTGAATGTCAGCGTCGAAATCAGGGATGAAAACGACAATGCTCCATATTTCACGTTTCCCAGTGTCAATCCGTTCACCCTGGACGTCCTTTACTACCCACGTCACTCCAACAACATCACAGTCCTCAAAGCCTCCGACAGCGACAGTCGCGAAAATGCGTTTTTAAGATACGACATAACCAGTGGCAACGACAAGCAGCTTTTCGCTGTCAACCCTTACACTGGTCTGTTGTCGTTCACCAGGGTGGTCACTCAATACGATACTGGGTCTTACGATCTCCAATTTGTCGTTAAGGATAGCGGCACACCAGTCTTATCGGCCACAACAACTTTATTAATGATGTTAACAGTGACCAACAGGTCGTCTGAAATGCTGGACGTTGTCATTTCACAATCCGAGGAAAGAATACACCTCCACTTACTGATTGTCATTGTCGTGGTGTCTGTCATACTGTCGGTCCCTATTACAGCTGCCATGTCGATATGCATCGTGCGTTGTAAGGACCAAGGGAATTCTCCGCGCAGAACTGAAGGCGGGGCTTCCATCAAGTCTATTAACGAACAAGGGCATTACATGTGCCCTTCTCATAATGCCACATACTGGACAAGTGGGAATGTGGACCTAACCCCAGAAAGGTCCGCTTCCTGCAACACCTTCCCGTCCACCTCAAAGAGGGGACTCTACCCAGTCGATGAGTTAAGTCATGGGCGAAAAGGGACAAAGTTCCAGGGTACTAGCGACAGTGTATATCAGGTATTTGCTTTCTCTTTTATTTATTTTATTGTTTCATGAATAGAACGAAATTGTAATATTTTCGGATATATTGATTGCATTTGTTTGTTATCTAAACAGCACGCATCTTCATATTAAAATAACTGGAAGGTCTGGGCTAGGAGACTTGGGAGGCCGAAAGTTAATAGTACCTGATTAAAGGGATGCTTGAAAAGAGAGACAAAATATGTTGGTCTTCTCCACTTTCCAATGCCCACTATAGGCATTACTAAATCCATGATATTCTAGCGATTATGGGTGTTTGGAAAGAGGGAGGAAATATATTGGTCTTCTCCACTTTCCTTGATTTACTATAAGCATTAGTATATCCCTGATGTACTAACACTTTAATAGTGAGGATGCTTGTAAAGAGAGACGAAATATGTTGGTTTTCTCCAATCCCCATGGTTCCCTATAAGCATTAGTATATCCATGATCTACTAATACTTTAACAAGATGGAAGGAAATATTAGAATATCCCAAAGAAATGAATTCCCAAAATGAATTATGCCTGAAAATATTTTATGTACCACACTAAAGTACACAAATATAAGTCATACCCAGACTAAGATGCAACACACACACACACACACACACACACACACACACACACACACACACACACACACACACATACATATATATATATATATATATATATATATATATATATATATATATTACAAATTGTACCACACAGACAAAGTAAAAATAAAAAAGACAAGCAGTATATGAAGGGGACGAATACAAAGAGTCTCTTACTTGTAAAATCCTCAAGAGGGACACGGTGCATGTTCCTATTTAGGACGCATAACATCAAGAAACTGATTAGACAATTGGAAAGGAGCAATATAAAAATAAGTAGACACAATATAACTATATTATTCAATCAAATATGTTTAAATGAAAATATGCTACTTAGATACACACACATGTATGTGTGTGGATAGATCCGACGTGCTTTAACCAACTCGGCCACGAAAATCGTCGCCGATTAAGCAAGGCTGAATCCTGCCTTTTTCTATTTCTTTTTTTAAATTCCTGAATGTTTCGTATACGAAATGTAAATAAAGCTATTTCTAAAGAAGTAATGGATTTTAAAAACTTATAAATGTGACAGATGTGTATTACTTTAAACGTTATTTTTTTGTGGATACCCATATTTGTGTAGACGATCCGTTTGTTTTAAACCGTATATTTATTTTTATTTTCGTCTACCGTCCTGAATATTTGAGAAATTTTACTAAAGAAAAAGATGATCCCTCCGCCAGGATGCCGACTTGCACCTTCTTTGCAGGAGAAACTGTGGTTAGATCCGTCGTACTTGTGTATAGCATTTTGCATGACATATTCTAGTGCCATATGCAATTTGTTTTCAGGCACAATTAATTTTGGGAATTAATTTCTTTGAGTTTTTATGTCCCTTCTTTCCATTGTGTTAATGTCTTAGTATAGCACGGAAATGGTAATGGCTGTCATAGGTCTTGCAGAGTGAAGTTTCTGATTTCTTTAGAAGCACCCTCTTACATATTCTGCGACTTTTGAAACGAGCAAATTGATCACAACAAGAATGGTACAAAACGTCTTGTGAAGTTAGGCCCAATTTTGTCAACTAAAAATACATATTATGCAAAAAATACTTAAGTTTGGCCCTTTTACAATTTATTTTTTGCTTTCATAAAAAAATGCATTTACATACTTTCAGCATCATATTGACGATTTAGAAAAAAAACTGTCCGATTTTCGTTCCATCGTCATTTTCTCAAGACATTTCTGTGCTTGTAGCTACTAACAATAGTTCTCTTTGGAGATCTTCTGAGACAGTGTTCTGTGTATAAACTAGTCGGTCCTTCATTCTAACCAAACTCTTTTGTGCAGTGTATTTCCCTCACTTCTTGTTTGTAAGCAATGTTCTATATCTGAACGATTGTTTGGAGCTGTTTCTGTCTGCTGTACAAAGCCATATTAATGTGACTGGTTTTTAACTCTTCAGTATTTTCTTCTGTTGCTTTCGTTTCGTTTCGTTTCGTTTCGCCCTACTTTTATATCATTCATTATTTTTTTACAGAAAAAAAAGTTTAAATTAAATGATATTATGATCCACGTTGTTATAAATGAATCCTCACTTGATTCTAAAATTCACGAGACGTTACTGTTGATTCTGGGGATTACAATAGGTTCCCATTTTTGGCGAAACTGGCAGATGATTAACACCCCTCCCACAAACCCGGCCAAAAAGAAGCTGTAATTTCACAATTTAACTTCGGTACGCTTTTATCGTTCTATTTTTATCGTTTCAAAATGAATCAAATTAATGGTGAATGATTTCATTTTTTTTATTTTATTTTATTTATTATCCATTTATTTATTTTGGCAGGAGACCGAAACCCTGGGCTGCAACCTACTCGGTCTATCTATTAATCCGTTACTACATGTCTCTCTGAATTTCTGGCATAAGAAGTTATCATTATTTACATAATTTACACTTAGACTATTGTCTTCATCTGTATTGTTACTCTCACAACGTTTCGGCCGTTATACTTCCTAGATTTCATCAGGTGCTTTTCAACCCGGGTAACTTTAGGGGATTTTCGAAGTAGAATGGCCTCGTTCCACTGACCATTTTTGTATGAGTGTCTCAACTGGTACTTATTAGAAGACAAGACATCTCTAGGCATGGTCAGCGGAACAAGAACAGTCTACCCCCCGTAGATTAAATAAAGGGTTCAGATCGAAATTCTATGAACATTACTCGGATCGACAAGGGTGTAATGAAAGCCGGGGTGGGATACAACGGCCGAAACGCTTTGATAATAACAACAAAGATGCACAAAATAGTCCGACTGTAAATTATATCGATATGGCATATGTGAAGGAGACCTAAACGCAAACCGCTACTGGCCCGCTGGCGTGCCGCCGATGGCAACGCCAGCAGTCCTCTGGTGGCAGCCATCAGCGGGCCACCCGTGAGCCTCTAGCGGTCCGCCAGTGGTAACATTGCCAAGAGGAATACGCCGGCGGTCCACTAACTATAAACGCTAGTGGCATGCCACTCAGTGGCAGATTGGTAGCTTGCGTGTAGGGAGAGGGATGACGTGACAGAAAACAATTTTGAAGAAGACTGCTTATGTTCACTTTTCTAAGACAGGAATTCACTTCCTCCGTTGCCAGATATCTTGATAAAAATGGTATCGTCACTGGCACGCCACGATGATTAACAGAGAAGAGAGTGGATGAATGAGCGTTTGAGAAAACCACTCTCCCATAACTACCTGATCTGCTCAGGCAGTATCAGCAAAAACTTAAATCCATAGTTCATCCATGCTCGAACAAATCATTCACCGAGTCCGTCTTAAGTTATTAAGTACATGTCAACCTTGTTAGCTGAAAATTAAAAATCTTGCTGATTTCTTGTATTTTTAAAGACAGTTTTCTCTATAAATAGCAAACTCTACTTGGCAACGTGTGTGTGTGTGTGTGTGTGTGTGTGTGTGTGTGTGTGTGTGTGTGTGTGTGTGTGTGTGTGTGTGTGTGTGTGTGCGCGTTGGTAAGAGAGTGAGGGAGAGAGGCTCATCTCAATGTCTTAATGTTTCGGATTGTTTAATGGGTAGCCAAGGTTGCTTACTTATTGTAAACGACTGCTCTCAGTGACTACCGGTTGAGTGCATTGGCCATTTGCGTGGTTGCCATTTTTGATTTAACAAAGCAATGCTCAATAAATGTGGTAATCTGCAGAACTTGATACTTTACGAAATAATTACGGAATTTTATCGGAGAGTTGATAATCCGTAGAAAACGAATCAATCAATCAATTTTATCCGATTTAAGAACCATCGGATTTAAGGAGCACACTCTCTTCCCTCAACCTTTACTTCTTTAAATCGAGGTTTTACTAGTCATCGTTGTCTTCTTCATCAACTTATTAAAGCCAGATTATTTCCAGCAGTTAAAATAGTTTACATATTCATGAATTACACATACAAGCTTATACACGGGCAAACCCATGCACACACACATATTATTATAGTAAGCGTTAAACCCTTTTAAGACGCGCATGCATAAAAGACACTTTCAGCAGAAGTAACCCCATTTTACGAAAGATGTTCCAGATAGAATAAATATCCACTGTTGTTTTATCCACTCTTTTGTTTGTCTATTTTCTCAATGCATACTTTTTGTTCAAAACACGTCTATATATATATATATATATGACCTCGTGGTCATCAAACTGTTGTCGCTAGGTTTGGTGTCGTGTGTTGAACAAAAAGTAAGCGTTGAGAAAGCAAAAGAGTGAGACAAAACAACATAGAAATATTTATTCTATCAGGAATATCTTTAGAGAAAATTTCAAGAGATGTTCTTCCGATTCTCCGTAAATAATGAAAGAAAGGCCAAACTTACTCTGCTGGTGAATCAGCCAGCCGGTGCGGTGTACTTCCTACGCCATGTTGCGTCTATTGCATGGAACGGCAACTTTTCTGTCCTTTTACGGTTGCCCAAAAGCTTTTTGGGTTTACTTCCGCTGATAGGGTTTTTTCACGCATATATATATATATATATATATATATATATATATATATATATATATATATATAGTTAAGTTATAAAGAACTTGGTAAACCGAATTGGTAAATCCAAGGAGGATGAAATCCTGAGAGCTCAGTGTGAAGAACAGAGCTAATATTTAATGAAAAAGACCATATGATATCATATTTTTCTTCTCATTTCATTGTTGGAAGTGTTTACCTGATGATCCGAAATCCTTTAAAAAGGAATTTGGTGAAATAAATTATTGTAATGGTACCTTAAAAGTGGTCTGTTTTTCATTAAATTAATTATATATATATATATATATATATATATATATATATATATATATATATATATATATATATATCTAATAGCACACTAATGTCACGTGATCCGTTGTGGAAAAATGTGTATTTCTTAGTAATTACAGTGTACATGTACTGTACATATTA